GCGACTGAATGCCTCATGCAGGCTGCGTTGCTGTGTTGGCTGACAGCGTGAGCTGTTTGGTCAAAGAGACAGTGTTGTTAGATGGACGCGTTTCGTGTTTGCCATGGGGAACAACGTAGTCTGTGATTGTTGATGGAACTGCCTGGCTTTGACGTGTTTGATCTGTTTTATTATTTCATTAGTCAGGCTATCATCTTACTCGAAACCAAGAGCTGAACAGACTGCTCCCATAAAGCCTCCTATAAGCACCTTTCCCTCAAAGGCATCCAGTCAGTACTTTTTTTTACTTAGCACTGGTGATTTAATCAAACCCCTGCCCCTGAAAACAGGTCAAAACCTTCAAAAAACGCTGACTGAGAAGTTCTCTAAATATGTTGGAAAGCTGTCATGGCTGGATGACTGACAACTGCCACCTAAGTTGTATCTTTGGCTTGAATCAGTCATAGAATCGCTGAGGCTGGAAAGCACCTTTGGAGATCATCTGGTCCAACTCTCCTGCTCAGAGTGCCGTGGGCTACGGAAGGTTGCTCAGGACCATGTCCAGTTGGGTTTTGAGCATCTCTAAGGAGACTACACAACCCCTCAGGACAAACTGTTCCATTGTTTGATCACTCTTGCAGTGTGTGTATGTGTGTGTCTGTATATATACATATTTAAGTGGAATTTGTTCTGTTTCAGTTTGTGCCCACTGCCTCTCATGCTTTCACTGGGCACCAATCAATCTTCTCCAAACCCTCATCAGTAAGATCTCCCTGAGCCTTCTCTTGGCTCTTTCAGCCTTTCCTTGTATGAAGTCCCTTAATCATCTTCATGGCCCTTTGTTGGGCTTACTCCAGTAGGTTCATGTCTGTCCTGTACTGGGGAGCCCAGAACAAGGACCAAGTGCTCCAGATGGGTCTCATCAGTGCTGAGCAGAGGGGGAGGACCACCTCCTTTGACATGCTGGCAATACTGCTCCTAATGCAGCCCAAGATGGCGTTGCCCTTCTTTTGCTGCAAGGGCACGTACCAGGTCCTCCTCTGCCAAGCTGCTTTCCAGCCAAGCAGTCTACAGCCTGTACTGGTGTGTGGATTTTTTCCTCCGCAGGGGCAGGACTTTGCCTGTTGTTTTGAACTTCATGAGGTTCCTGTTGGCCTACTTCCTCAGCCTGTTGAGGTTCCTCTGAATAGCAGCACACCCGTCTGGTCTGTCAGCCACTCTTCACGGTTTCGTATCATCTGCAGACTTGCTGAGGGTGTGTTCAGTCCCATCATCCACGTCATTATTAAAGATACTGAACAACTCAGCGTTGACTCCTGGGGCACACCACTGGTGACTCCCCTCCAGCTGGACTGTGTCATTGATCACAACCCTTCGAGCCTGGCATTTTGGACAGTTTTCAGTCCATTTCACTTTACACTCATCTTGCCCTGTATGCTATCAGTTTTTGTACGAGGATGTTATGGGAGACAGCATCCACTGCTTTCCCATCATCCAGTGAAGCAATCATTTCATCGTGGAAGACTGTCAGGTTGGTCAGGCATGATTTCCTCTACACCGCTTTTCTGATTCCCACTATAACCACCCGGTGCTCCTGGGTGGCACTGGCTCAGCTGCCTCTGATGCTTCATTGAACGGAGCTTCCAGCCCCTCGACTGCTACCAGGGCACTGAACGTAGTCTTATATTTCTAAATCAGTTCTGTCAGTTCTTACAGTCTGTTTTAATTTATTTTCTATAATACTCTAAGCAATCTGACTCTGATTTGGCTTGTCATTTTTTTGTTTCCTTCCCTCTTTCTTGGTCGGAAGCATGTGCCAGGTGATGTCTTGTATATGAATTCTTGCCAAAAGAAGATTTCTAGTGATTTGTTAGAGATCTAGGATAAAGACATCTTCTTTGCATGCAGTGTGGGAGGCGGTTTGTGATGGCCAATACTGCCTGTGAAAACTCAGGAGAATGTTGTCTCCCTCTCAGGTGAGCTGTGGTCCTGCTGGATGCACAAGAAAAGCATGGTTAACCACACAGTGTTCATGCTTAAGCTTCAGAAGACTATTTTTCATCCAAGACTTGGTCATTATGGACTTTTAAGCTACAGATAATTGATTTGAGTTGGGTTTGAAATTGAGAAAGCTGTGTAAAAAAGCAGAGAGGAGGTAAGATGGGTGGTTTTGGTAGTTTGTGTTGCTGAGGTGTTCTGCTGCACTTTCCAGCAGTTGAGACTTGCTGTTTTTTGAAAGTTTTGGCCAGCTTACATTACTGCAGTCCAGCTTACTGCTGACTGATTTTGGGGTCACCTCTGTTCTTGAGTAAAGCTTTCAGAAGTATAATTCAGAAGCTTCAGGCATTCAGAAGTATAGTCCATGGACTGACCTGATGCCTAATTATTGTAAGGAGTTGTGATTCCATAAAAACATTTTCTTGACACCACTGGATGCTGTTTTTGCTTGGGTAAATGTTATACTTGAAGACCTTTCAGAGGCTTATTTGATCTGGACTGGTTAGGTAGTAGAATGGTTTCTTGCCTGTCACACCATAGTGTGAATTACCTGGACAGTTCATCTAGTGCTGCTTGCTAATATTGAAAACCAAAACTGATCAGTGTTCCTCTCGAGGACCATGTAGTAGTGGCATGTGTAGCTTCTTGGTGTTTCTGTGTCAGCACGTGAAAAAAATGTGTGGGATGAAACTATCTTCACATTCCCCATGACCCCTCTTACTTAACAGGCGAGACAGCAGAGTTAGATCTGGTTTATATATGTATCCAAGGGAGCGCGGATGTTATTGAGTGTCACTGACAAATACAGGAGGAAATTCAGCACCTAAATTTCAAATGTAAAAAGCTGATGTTCATTTACTGCTGTTTGTTTTTGGAACACAGAGGCACACGAATGATGACCGGGAGGTTCTTGAGACCCTCCTTTGGTTGTTGGCATGACTGAGTCCATGTTTTGCAGTCTGGAGAAGTGACCAGGATGAACGTATTGTGCATTTCAAACACAAATACAGAAATGTTCCCCCAAGGAAATAAAGAAGCTTTCAAAATAATTAGTTCATGTTGACATAGTGTGGGTATGATTACCTACTGCTTCTGTGGAAAAAGGACCAGGTGTTGGGCAATTCAAGTCGTAGTCTGCAGTGCTGTAGGCATTTACCATGACTGACACCGTTCTGATCCATTTTCCATGTTTAACTTCCTAAAACTGTACTATGGTGTGTATATTGGAATATAATACCTGTTCATGTGCTTAAAACCAGAGTTTATTGTGAGAGAAATATCTAACTTGTGTATTTCTTACATTCTCATGCATTTGTAGGTTTCCAAAATGGTTGGGTTAAGTTGGTTGGAAGATGACATTTTTATTTCCAGATTGTAGGTGATGAATGGCCATTGTCTTTATGATCTGTGGCTGCCAGAATTTCCTGTCTGTTGGGCAGTATTTCATGTCAGCCACTCAAAAAACAATTCAGTGCAGAAGCAAGACAAAACTACTGTGCTTGCTGCAGGCAGTGGTGGGGAAATATGATGCTTTGAAGCAAGCTTAAATAATACGTTTGGCAAAAATACATGTATAAAGCACAAAAAGCATATGTTACGAGTTCCAGGGTGTGTGTCACGTGCAAATGACTCTGGTAATGACTGCTGCTCAAATTTTCTTTCTTAAAGAAAAAAAAGCAAAACTAAGTCTTCATGCTTATATTTGACTGGCTCCTTTGTTAATGGGTGTATTCAGAAAATAGTTTGCCAGACAGATCATTCTAGCTTCTCTTGTATTCGTGGCACCATCATGTAGTTCTGTTTTCTACCAAGGGTTTGCTGACTTCGTCTGTAGGCAGCAGCGGGATAAAGGCTACGTTGCAACGTGCGTGCCGCAGCGCCTTTGAGCAAAACTGTCCACAGATCAGAACTATACATTGATTTAATAGAGCTGTAAGTTTGACACCAGGACATAATACTTTCTCCCATTTGGTTCCTTAATTTGTGAAGTAATTGTTGGATATTATTGTGCACTGATAGAATAAAGAGTAACCCGGGCAAAAACTTTTACAGCCATTCTGGATTTCCATCTTTGAACCCTGTTGTGCTCTCGTCTTTGTGCATGTTTGTTGTGATCTGCAGAGGAGAGGGAGGTTTCGTGGAGAACAGTGTTAGTTTGGTGGTGCCTGGGTATCCAGACTACATTTGAGTGAGAGGGAAGATTATTTTATTACTGCAGATTTGTGGAAATTTGTGACATAAACGGAATATCTTGAGGAACAAATGAACCTTTATTGCCAAACAAGCCTTAAGCTGTCAGTAGGCAGCTCTCATGGATCTTGTGCAACAGATGGACGAGTATGTAAATATACTGCTATGCTCCTCTGGGTAAACTTAATTACATCAAAATTAAAGCTCGCTTGCTTATTCTTCGTACAAAACCAGATGAATTGGAAGGAGGGTGCCTTTTAACTGTCTGTACAGATTAAGCTGTATGATACTGTCAGTGCTACACCTTCTGGCTGTGTTACATTTCTGGGATCAAACCTGCAAAAATATTGTGTGTGCAGCAATCAGTTTTTTTCAGATATAACAGCATATTCAAATGTAAGAAGTAACAAAGCATTGCATGTACATACCCTGCATGCACAATTTGAACCTTTCTCCCTGCTTAGCCCCAAAAATGTGTTGAGTAACAAACGCTTGCCCTGAGGGCAGTGATTCATAATTGGTAAATCTTGGGCTGGGACTTGGTGGGATGGGGGGAAAGAAACTGCACTGCCAGCAATCCTTTCCACCACACATGCACAAAAACTTACCTACTACCACAATATGACCTGGTGACATCTTCCTAAATTTACTTTATTCTAGTAGGCGACTGTTGGATTCCCCCCCTCCAAATGGCTGGGAACACTGCAGTTCACAAATGAGTGTTGCTTGAAGGGAAAAACTTGTCTTTAGGTCTGTCTTTTTGTACGTGCGTGGCTTTTAAGTTGCATTTCCATGTCTGAGTTGCATTCACTGTGGTGTTTTGTTTTTTTTAGTGGACTATATCGTGGAATATGACTATGATGCAGTGCATGATGACGAGCTAACGATCCGAGTTGGGGAAATCATCAGGAATGTGAAAAAACTGGAAGAAGAAGGATGGCTAGAAGGGGAGCTAAATGGCAAAAGGGGCATGTTTCCTGACAATTTTGTGAAGGTGAGTTTTCTGCATTGACTTAATTTGACTGTGATCATACAACAGGCTAGTTGTTGTTGAAATGGTTAGAATACACATCAGTTGTATTTGTAACAAGGTGATTTTTTTTAACTGGAACACCTTTTCGATGGTTATGTTTTTTTAGTATGCTTTTGAAGGCCTTTTTTGTTTGAGTGAGTTCTGCTGTCTGTTCTGATTCACTTTAGCTTTCTTTTGGTCTGTACCCTTGCACTGTATGTTCTGTCTCCTTCCTGCTGCTGCGGTGCACTAACAGCTGTCTGTAGCTATGGTTACCCACTTTAGTGAGATGAGCTGCATAAAGAACCAAAACCACAAAAACCCCCCAAACCTACCCCTAGAGAAGACATCAAGTCGTGAGAGAGTTCGGAAAGTGGGGTCACAGCTCAGTCAGCTCAGCTATAATGAAAAACTGTATCCTCGGGCTGTGGTTGTGTGGGTGCTTCAGCCTGGGTTAAGCTGCTTTGTTTGAAGGACCAGTTCTGCCCTACGCTGGGCTCCTTGCTGCTGGCACTGCCTCTTTCGTGACCGTGCAGAGGGACAGGGCAGAAAGTGTGTCCAGCTAAAGGGTAACTGTGAGATCAGGCTGGCTTTCAGCTTGTTTGGTTTCCTGACCGGGCTCCCTGTTCATCATCAGCAAATACCTGAAACGGGAAGGGTGTGAGGTTTGTGCTCCACTGGGCTGCGGCACTGGCACGTCACCAGGTTAGTCATCGTCTTTCTGTATAAGATCCTCTGCTCTGGGATCTCTGTCTTCCTCAGTGCTGTGCGACTGGCTCGCCGTTGTTGTCTTCTGCTGTGAGATACTGCTTCTCAGACCTTTTATTTAACCTTCTTTATGTATTCTATGTTTGTGTCCTAGTTTTAATTGAAGTTCTTGCTTACACCTTCCACATTTTTCCTGTTTTTTTCTGCAAATTTTCCTCATGTGATGTTGAGTACGCACCTATTTATTACTTACTTCGAATTAAGAAGTCTGCAAAGCAGCTAGGTGTGCTAGTCCACGTGTAACTTCTGGAATTCAGTCTGCTGAGCTGCAAAGATTTTCTCATCTAAACCATGCAAGTGTTACAGAGATGTTATGCTTTAGTTCTTTATGCTTTCTAAACTTTTTAGTAACTTTCAAGGATTCCTTAGTGTCACTTCCGTAAAGTAGAATCAAAGAGAATTTAGATATTTCCGTCTCTTTTGAAGTGAAATTAATTCTTTGCAAACCAAAATTATCTAATGTATCTTAATGGGATACTTTTCGTATCGTTAAACCTAAGGGGAAATTTCTCCAGTGCTATAAATGCTTCTTTACTCTTGCTTGCAGTAAATTTGACAATTTTCCTGTTCATCTTACAGAGAAAGCAAAATTATTCATTTTTGATTGACTGTGGAGGGGTCTAAGTATCTACCTTTTAAAACTGATGGGGATAATCCAGTTGCTCTCAGAGGGGTCTTTTACCAAGGAAAAGTTTGTACAAATGCCTTTCACTTGTCTAGTATTTTTAAGTTGTTTGTAGTTTCGTTCAGAATCTCTTTTGAGTTTTGAGTGCAGTATAACTAGTAATTTTGCTGTAAGTGGTGTTTTGATGATTAATGTAGTGATGATGTACTTAATGAGCGCTCAGGTGCCACATAGCAAGAAAATATCAGACACAGCTCTTCTCTGGTTCTTGTGTCATCAAGACCGTCTTTCTACTGATCAGTAGAGAGGGGTTGGACGTGGCCTGTTTCTATGTTAAAAACTAAACATGTTAGGTGTTTTCTTGCCCTTCTGCAGCTGTGGGTTTTGTTTTAAATTTTTTCCATCCTGAAAATTCTTTATGTCTCTCAGCTCCAGGTATTTTTAACTACACAACTGTTCAATATGTGCGTGGCGCAGTCGAATATCCTGAATTATAGGGGACAGTCAGTTTTCTGGAAGGCGTGGGGATTTGGAGAAGCGTAAAGGAAGTTGAGTAAAAGAAAATTACCTCTTTGGTTTCATGTCAACAGGGGATAACTTGCCTTCTTGGTGCCGCAGTTGACTGCAATTATAAGGCTGATCTTGGGAATTTTTAAGACTATATGCGTAGGCTGGAAGGGTGTTGTGCAGTGATGAGATGATGGGAAAGCATTAATTGTTAGGGAAGTGAAAGTCATGGTTTTCTTCATGGCCAATTTAATTGTAGTTTCTTCTTAAAAGTTAATTTACAGGTAGTGATAGCTGGAGAGACTATTTCAGGGAAAGCTGTTGCAGAGAAGCGTGGTTTCTCTGGCTACTGCAGTAGGCTGTGGATACTGCAGGATCTATGAAACGCTGCTATGACCAGATTGGTGCAAATACCAAGCCTCAGCGGCTGAACTCAAATACTCCAGCTTGGCCTGCTGCGATGTTAACACCCGCAAGGTGTGGGAGAACTGCGGGAGGGAAGCGGAAACAGGCTGCAGCAGAGTTGTACTTTGGCCTTATGAACAAGGAAAGTCCCTTGAGAAACGGATTTACTCATTTGCTACCTCGCCCAGTAGCTTGCCTCCACCAGGCGGTGGTGGCCTCTGCATCCTTGGTGCTTTCTATGGGAAGGAGTGTCTTCTGCTCTAAGCAGGACCCTCCCTACAGCTCCTGCAAGGGGATGTAGGTTTGAGAGTAGAGAAGTGTGGCAAGTTGGTTGGGAGGGATAATGACAAGAAGGATACTGAAGAGCGATAAATACTGCGAAGTTCTTACGACCCACACGAAAGGGAATAAGGAGGCTGAAGGTCTGAACGATGCAGTGAGGAGGAAACAGCTGGAAGGACACTAGGCTTGGAGGGCTGGGGGGACCTTGGGTGTATGGGGGGGATCTCCCAGGTCAGGACAGTAGAAATGTGACCAGAGAGAGCAAATAGATGTGGACAGGACCAAGGGCTGCACTTAGTTTTTATGTGTTTGTATGCCAGATTCTGAAACTGTAGTTGAAAATTTATTCCTTCCTGAAAGGATCTTCTTTACTCCTGTTATGAGCGTAATTTCAGGCATTAGATGGGGATCTGGCCTGAATTCATTATATGGATAAATTTGGCGTTTTTTTCGTGATATATATGCTGGTTTGCTAAGAATTGAACTGAGGCCAGGGTATAACCTCTCCATGCAGAATTTGGATGGTAAATTATAATCTGTGCTTATCTGAAAAGGGTTAGCATTTGAAGCTGAAAGTGCACGCGTTATCCACTAGATTTGCCTAGCCTCTTCACATGTACAATATTTGAAAATATAATACATTTATGACGGATTAAACTGGGTGAAGATGGACATGTTTTCTTTTTCAAATGTTAGATCTTTCTAGAGAAGATGAGCTCTTTAAAAGAAGCCCTTGATTTTCGTCAGGCAGCTGCAGGAGATGTGGGGGCAGCCACTAATTCCAGGTAGTTTGGCTTTTGCTGATTTTGTTCGTTTGTCTGTTTGTCATCCTGTCCGAGGGCAGGAAAAGTGCTGGTTGCCTTGGTGGCAGCTGCAAACAGTCCTTGGCTGCCAGGCAGCGTGCGGCTGCTTCTTGCTTGTTTGAAGGACAACCAGAATGTTGACAGGAGGATTGTGGCTGCATGACGGATGTGTTGGATGCCCCAGATTCAGACTGTATCATCACTGCTAAAGCAGATCAGTCCCCTTCTGTTCCTTTCTTCTGAGCGTCATCAATACATAGGATTTACTGACGTTTTACACCACTGCTCACGCTTTAACTTTTGCATGTTTTGACAAATGCATCTTTTCAGTTTGTAGTATGACCAAGTGCTATCAACTTTGTTTGGAGTTGTTAGAGTTGTGCTTTTTGATTGTGTCTTTTTTTTTCCTCAAGTCTTCTAAATATTGCAAAGCAGGTTATGTCGTGGGTTTACATTTCATGCAATTGGCTCTTTGCTGTCAGAAGTACAGCAAAGGAAGCTAACATTGTGTTTTCAGATAGGTTACTTTGTTGTACAGACAAGTAGGTGAGCTAAGCACTACATGACTTTGAAATACTCACATGTAGAAGGGAATGTAGAGAAGTTTCCCGTGGATACTGATGTGATGCTGATGCTTGGTACCTTATAACATCTGCTGGTAACTTTTTGGTTGGGTTTTTTTGGCTTCTACCCAGACTTGTTGCCCTTTGGTGAGATCCTGAAGAAGGATTGGAGCTTGGTGGTGCCTGGTTCCTAGTGCCGGCTGGGGCCTGGGCATTTTCTGCAAGCTCGTCGGGTTAACCAGCAGTCTGAGATGGTCTGTCCCAAAAGGTGCAGTTCTTGATGCTGACTTCCACTTGCATTGTTTTGTATTCAAAGAAAAAGAACAGGTAGACTCGGTTAAGGGGAACCCCATAAAGCCTCCAGAACATCCTCAGGTACTAGTGTGACAGTGTCACTGCATTGGATGGAGAGCAGGAGGTATTGTAAAGGCTGGGGAGGGAAGGAGGGGGGGTGAAGGGATGGCCGAAGCAGTCCTGAAACCAGAGCTCAGGGGTGGTGGAGAAGCTTGCTGTGGCTGTATAGTTGAAAACAAGTAAGTAAAAAAGTTACAAGCAATTACACCACCCGCTTGTGAAGCTAATTTCCTTGAATTCACTTTTCAATAATAAGTCTTTTTAAAGACTGTCTGCTTGTATTGCAGTGTTGGAGTTTGGAGTGCATAGATTTCCAATTTTGTTAACAAAACCTGTTTTGAAATTTCTGTTTGAAGTGTGTGCACATACGCTTTTAGTGGGGCTTAAATATTTGAAATGGAGTTCTTGTTCCTGACATTGTTACTGTCATTTTTCTCCCTCTTCCTGTATGGGCAATTTAAAATAAACAGCTTCCTAAATTCCTGAAAGGAATTAGCAGTGAAAACCTAGTAGACTTGTTGTTTTCTTTGAGAGTGGCTTTTCTTTTCTATAATTCATCACGGTGCAAAATGTGCACACAGACGTTCATCTCCAGTATGGGTTGGAGCAGTGCTGTAACGCTGTTAGATGGAATGTGTGAAGTTTTTTGAGATGTTAAGCCATGTGGAAGGCTTT